CCTGAAGGCTGACACATTGCGCAGTATAATATCAACAGCTTGAATGGCTTTTTGAGGAGGAAGAAGAGAAGCCCCACTAGCCGTGTACTGTACTAGAGACTGCAAATCAGCCTGAGATGCATACTTGATGGTAATCTTAAACTTTCTTTCTTTACCAGATTCATTATCACACAAAGCAATATGATCACACATCTCTCTGCCAAATGGCAGCTCTCCAGAGCTATACAAATTTGTCTTCCCGTCAAATGCTGGAAACCGTTTTGGATAATGTTTGAGCCTAAATTCTTCCATGGCAGCCCTCAACATTCTCTGTGGAACTGAGGGCTCTAGTGTTACATCATAATGTATGATAATGTTGTTTCGTACTCTTGACAAATCCAGTGCAAAATGATTAGTTTCAACAATTATTGATTTCCCCATGGTTCCACACTTATTCCAATCCTTTCTCATTGGTAATTGCAATGTCTGAATTAACTGGTTTGTTGTTTCAGCACTTGATGTATCACCTACAGTTCGCTGAGCAGCTCATGCTGACAGTGCTCCTTGTGAAGTACTTCCATGTACTAGTCCTTGTCTGTGTGGTCCTGTGTGGCCACTGCAAAAACCAGAAGTACCAACAACTGCCCCCACCTGGGTTGGTAGTACTTGTTCCTGATGAAGCATCATCTTCTGCTGCAGGGGTTGAGATGGTCTAGCATGTCCTTCAATACTTAAAAGTGTTTCCTGTTGCTGTTGCTGTTTAAGTTGTGATGGTTCGATTTGTGTCCTTTCACTTCCTTTCTGTCCAGTGCCAGTTTTCTCTGACCCCTCACATTGCTCTCCAGTTTGCTGCCTCCAAGATGTCTTTTGTACTTTCTTACTCATTTTGTTGAATCAAATTTTTGTAACGTGTTTTGCTGCTGAAGACGCCGTTCGGATTGTTATTTGGTTTATTTAACAACCTACAAGTCTTGGCTGCAATTAATTATAACACTGTTACGGGTTTACATACTTTACAACCCTACACACAAATCTCTTCACACTATCACGATTCACTTGTTACAACTGAACTCTGTGACTACTACAATTCAACTGACTCCTTAAGTCAAAGTCAAAGTCACATTACGACTGTCGGTCAGTCAGTCAGTAAGTCTTGGTGTCGAGCCCCACCAGATATTTATTACTGTTTGACAGTTACGGTCTTGTTTTTGTGGGGCGCCCTCTCTGATGAGTGGATGGGTCTGTCATTTGTATATGCTGCTGGCCCTTGCCAGCACAGTCTTTCTTGGGTCCGGGTCCCTTGGGATTTGTAACCATATTTTACCGTCTCAGATATGAGACTGACTCCTTAGGCAGTGTAGTTCTCTTATAAACCCACAGCCAGACAACGGGAAAATGCCTCGCTTCATTGTTGCCTAGTTGCCGTGTTTACAGGTGTTGCTGGGAACGCTATCGAGAGTTGTTTATTGCTGCATAGCAACTGCGGCATCCCCTGCTACGTCACTGTTGTCACCTGCCACATCATAGTGAGAAGCGCTGCCACGTGACCACAGGTGAGGGGGCGGAGCGCTGACCAGTACCAACACTGTAGCACAGGCAGCGCTGTTATGCCGCCACTTGGGGGGGGGGGATGGGGGCGTCCTGAATAGCACAAATACATCACATTATAAACACACTCTATATGTCACTAGAATTACAGCACACAGAGTGTTCTGTAGCTACAATTAATTATACCACTATCACTGATCTACACCCATTAAAGAAAACATGTTTACTGCATCTCTTTACTGTTCCATATTAGCCAACACCATAAAAGGTAATGACTGCATCCATTGCAGCCGAACATTTCCCCACTTCCTTCCTTCCTTTTCTTCAGTTTAGTTCATTCTAGCAGAAACAATGGCCTTCTCAACTGTCAGTGTCACAAATATTTAAACCAGAAACACAAGTGAAAAGTCTGATGAAGGTATCTACAGTACAATCTGCAGATCATGGGTAACTGAAATGAAAGCACAAGTCTGATTCATATCGTCTCTTGCTCCTTGGCCAGATTATACTCATCTTCCTTCTGATGTGCTCCTTGCAGGCTTTTCTTTTGACCAGTTTCTTTTCTGGATATTTCTGAGATTAATTTCTGAAACAATGTGAGCATAGGTCTACATTTTTACAATCAAGTTTATTTCAGTCCAATGTGACATATGCCTTCACCACTTCAGCACTTAGTTACCCAACATGTTTCGATTCTTAATGAATCATCATTGGAGGTATACTACTACAATCAGGAACCCACCAATATGTAAATGTTTTTATAAGACTACATACACTTAAAACATTTATGATGCTCACTATATGTAGTTGTTAATTTTCCACTGTCGAAATAGATGTTTGACGTAAAGTTTTATAATAAGAACATTCTTGAAGTATATTACTTAGAAGTGATGTAGTTGCAATCACTTCCATAAAAGATAGTTTAAAAATGTAATTTTCCACTGCACTGTATATAAAATTCAATTTGTTTCATCACAGCAGCCATTTTACGTTAAAATTATGTTATGAATGTTTGTAAAAACTTATTTTTAAGTTAAAAAATTTGTTCATGAACCATTATGGATCATGTCTCAGATTGTGCTAGCATTTTTCAAATTGTGGTGAGTGTTCTGTCAACCTGAGGGCTCTAAAATAAAAAGAGTAGGTGTAATAACATCAGAAATACTGTGATACAAATTACATGATTCATATAGTCTACTTGCTACTTAATTCAGCTAATTTAATAAACCAAAGAATGGAAGGAATTAACAGAAAAGCCTTTTCAAAACTCATCTTGAAAATAATGGCGAAGTCAGATGGGACTTTCACATAGAAAAATTGAGTTAAACTGAAAATGTAGACAGTGCTGTGTTAGAAATCAGTTGAATATCACTAATTTCAAACATGCTATCCAGCTATGACCAGCTATAAATGAAACAACACTAGCAGATATAGTAAATCGTTTATTACAAGCAGGTACCAGTAATAAAGACCAATGGAATGTCTCAACTCTGTTCCTATGATATAACATCAAAATATCAATTATGACTTATACATTTGCTTTTGAACAAGTCTGAGCTAATTAACATGATTTTTCTAAATATGTCAATTAACTTTCTCCATGACAGTGACAAATTATAGTTCTTAGCAGATTACTACTCTTGCACCCTGAAGAAGAAGAGAGCATCTGAAATGTTAGTAACATTCTACTGGGCTACATAGAATTATATCCCAGAAAACAGTATTTTTCACTGTTGTTAAGAACTTCAAATCTCGATCCACTTCTTACTTTTAGAAATCGCCTGAAAGAGGGTTACAGGCACAGTGTGTTATATTCAGTACGCAGATCTTCCTTACTTGACTTTTAGTGAACTACATGGTCCATTAGAAGTTCATTAGTCATTGCTGTAAGAACTTCAAATCCACTTTCAGACAATCATGTACAGCAGGTGAAAGTGAAATTTTTATACCTCTTCAATGCTCTATAATGTACACGTACTTTCAGTAAAGTTTGTCTGTGTATCTCCTCTGTTTACAAGTTCCATATTTTAATCATAGTCAAAAAAAAGGGCCCTTTCTTTTCACCTGCAGAGGAATCTGCTTTCCTTGTTTCTAGCATCTGGTCATCTGAAACTGTTGTTAGCATGGATACCTCTTGTTCACTGTGTGACTTTATGCCATGAACCTCATTTGGGTGTGTAGAGCAATTTGCTTTCTTGACTGCTAAGTCTTCTTCAGGCTTGTGCATGTCCCTTCTGTTCAGTGTCACAGCACCACAATATCCTATATTTCTGTCATACAGAATTTTCACTAGTAGTGGACTGGTGTATCACTTATTAAGGTAAACGTGGTGGCCTCTGTCAACATAAAGTTATGCCAATGAAGGAACAACAGAGCTGGCAATTCACACATTTACTGCATGTTGTGTTTTACTTTAATTCCCAGTGTATATGATGGAGCCAGTTGCAGGTCACATAATACAAACATTTACACCAAATCTGTAATGTTAAGTGGTGGTGAAACAACATATCTCAGCTGCTCTTTCCAACAGACCATGTTCTTATCTGTGCATAATCCCTGGGAAGAAGGGAACAATGTTTTCAGTTTCTCGTGCAAGTGACTATTTCTGACTTTGAACACAGCATTTCCTTCAGGTTTATCATCACTGTTACAGAAGAACAGCATTCACAAAAGTAGAAATCAGTCTTGCGAAGAGTACACTGAAGAATTGGGTTGAAATCATAGGATCCTCAGACCAGTATTGTTTCATTTTGTTTTTCACAGTCTGCTCCATCAGCATTACAGTAGTGAGGCATGTATACATTTGTCAAGAGATTATGTTATGTCACTCACTCAGGAGATAGGGACTAGCTCTATCGATTGGGCCCAACTGAGGTTTTATCTGAAGATGGAGACAATCCAGTCTCCAAAACGTTGCGTTTTTAAAAAAAACAGGATGGTTTTTAGACAAAGACAAGACGATGGATAATGTCCAAAAACATAATACTTGCACTTCCTAATCTTTCACCTTTGCTTCTACCATAATACAAAAGTATGTAGTACATGTTTCTTTCTGTAACTATTGTATGAATGAAATTACAGTTCACAAGGTATTGCAGATTTCAATTGCTTTTTGTTGTTCATTCACATTCATGTGGGCACTGCAGGTTGAGCTGCCAAAGTGAAATGAGCAACATCCTTCCATTCCACACAAAGCCAACAACCTTCTCCAGTTTTCTCTGTTTTGGAGTTGGGTACACTTTCAGCAGAATGAGATTCTCCACTGCTAGTCTCACCATTGTAACTTCTCTTGCACAACAAAACCTTGGTCACATCCATCACCTCTTGGTTGATTACTCTTATTGTCTGCCATTTCACCACTGTTTGATTCACTGTTCATTATGAGCTCTATAATTTCATTACTCCTTTGAAACCTGTGCCGCATTTGTAAAGGGACTATATTAAACTAAGTGCTACTGTTGACAGGAGGCTTGTCTTCATGAATCTAAGGCTGAAGGTGGGGAAGGTGTGATGAAGATAAAGAAAGGATACGATGAGCAGAGCATGTAGCATGCATGGGGAGAATAGGAATGTATACAGGTAGGATAGGCAAAAGGAAAGAAATTACTTGGAAGACCTAGATGTAGATGAGAGGGTAATATTAAAATTGATCTTACAGAAACAGGATGGGGTAACATGGACTGGATTCATCTGGCTCAGGATAGGGACCAGTGGCACACTCTTGTGAACATCAGCTTTCATGTTCCATAAAATGTTGAGAAATACTTGAGTAGCTGGACAGCTGGTGGTTTCTTAAGGACTGCATCTCCTGTGGAGTTAGTTAGAGTGTGATGGAGAAAAAATAAACAAAAGTGGTCAGTGTTATTTATACTAATATTTCTTCAAATATAAATTTATTGCTCGACTCTGAAGGAATCATAAACATTCAGAGTCAATCACAATTGCTTCCACTGTTTATGATATGCATACAATTAAACTACAAACCGTTTCTGCACTCAGCAAATGCATGGCTTGACATATGATTAAAAAAGGTCCAAGCCCTATAAATACATGTCAGGGAAGGACAGTGATAGTTGGAACTGCTAGGTTGACATGTTGACTAGACAGTGGGGAAGACTTATGCCCCCCCCTCCACACACATACACACACAGAGAGTTTGTCCTCAAGAGTGTTAACATAGAAAGACTGCTTTATTTCTAAAGGCTACAGTGCAAAAAATCAAAAAAGAAAGTTCTCAAAGATTAGCAATGAAAGTGGTGTAAAATTTCGATACAGCATTATTTCTATTGCAGGGAACATGATCAAAAAATGTAATGAAAAATGGAAACCCCTTAAACATTAAAATAATCTATCATATCTGCTCACATAATTTACATACTTTCTTGCCCAAAAATCTGCATATCAGTACTTACATTTCTAAATCTCCATTCAAAATACCTACCAAAACTGCTGTAAGACAGAACAGCTGTTACAATTCACCAGAACCATACATGATATGGTTACATGCTTTATCCAGGCCAGCAAAACCATCCATGCCAACCTTGATTCCAGCTATTTGGCAGCCCAAAATGATAGAATCTTGTAACGACTTCCCTCTAGACAGGCCAAAAATTGCTGCACCGCAAAATGTGTCCCCTGCACCAAGGGTGTCCAATACTTTGTGTGGACAGAATGCTGGAGACTGAACAACGGTTCCATCATGTCCACGAGCCATTGCTCCTTGTTCACCCCAAGCACTTATTATAGTGGCACTGAAACAAAACATAAATCACTATTTACTTCTTGTGATGAATGCCTCAAGTTCTAATTTTTTTCTGTAATGCAATATACAGTAAAACTTGGTTATAGCAACATCGGTTTCTGCGACACCTTGTCTATTGCGTCAAATATTCAATGGTACGAACTAATTCCTCATAAAGCAACTGTTTTAATACCTTGCTTAGTACGACATGCACAAATGCATCAACCTCGCATGTAACGTCATTTTCATTCCTGAATTTCTCTGATATCGTGGGAAAGTTCGATGTGTCTGCCCACCCTCACTTTCTCTACTTGCTGACATGACTGTCCTGGAAGAATACGACCGCGGGCTGCAAGAGGAGCGTGGGTTTTATGCGAAAACAAGGGTGTGGGGTGGGACTGCGTGAATAGTGCAAGAGGATGTGGCAGGTTGTTAACTGCATTCCTTTCCTAGAATCTCGTCTAACAGGACCTCACATTGTCTACTTACCCTATAGTGTTCCTGCCTAAACCCAGAGAAGTGCAGTANCGTGTGTAAGGGAAAGAGATAATCTTTTAATGCACCTGCATAGACTTTTGGTGGAATCACCACTTACTCCAGGCTTTCTTGTAAACTCACATGTTTCGGCCACACAGGGCCATCATCAGATATATATATATATATAAAGTAAGTAAAGTAAAGCTATCCCTGTAACAGGCTGTGGAGGCCTATAGGGTTGTCAGATGTTGAGGTTCCCACAGTTTCTAGACAATCGGCTCATAGACAACAGTAAGGTTATCAGCCCTATGCGCCGGCTGCCCTTTACCCCCAAGAACATTCCAAGAATATTCCTGGTACTCATTTCTGTTAGAGGCTGAGTCGATCCCAGGCCCACAGTGTGGCTGAAAGGATTAGTTAAATTGAAAAAATCCAAGGACCTCATCAGGGTTCGATCCTGTGACCTTCTGGCTTGTAGCATAGTGTCTCAACCAACTATGCTACCGCGTGCCCCGCAATATATATATACATACAATTCTGAATACTGGCCCTTCTGATGTACATTAGGTTTTCAAAAGTCTGGTACAAATAAATGTGTTGCACCATGACCCAGCTGTTACGGTCAACTATTCACAGCTTTCCAACAGTACAAAATATATGTTACCATGAACAAATACTGGGAATATTTTTAGTAACTAGACACATTCATGGCTCTGCACTTCACCGTGACCAGGGCATTGCTGGCAGCGAAGCACACTCAAATTCTCCCGATGACTCAGCAAGCTTGGTGGCTGACAATGTTGGAACGGAGGAGAATAATTAACTTCTAGATCCTTACACAGTAATGGCAGGCAGTGCAGTTCATTTATGGGAGTCTGTTTACGAACTGTGAGTGGTAGTTAGTAGTTATCAGCGCCATGAGCCATTTGTTCCCAGCACACGCACGCACACAGAGTAGACCTAAGTGCTGTCCCTTGCACTGTGACCTTTAGTGATCTAGGAAGTCACTGCAGTTGCTTCAATGACATGCTGAGGGCGATCACTTCCTACTGAGCATCATGATCCGTGATGAAAGCTGCCATTTTAACCCCAAAATGACAGAGTATGGAATGGCATCATACTGCATTTCCAAAGAAGGCCAGCCCTCAGCTGGAAAAAGTTAAAGGAACAATTTTCTATAATGTAAAGGGGTACATACTGGCTGATTTTCTGGCCAGAACGGGAACTGTCAATGCTCCAGAAACAATAACACACACTTTGTGACAAGCTCCCAATGAAATGACACATCAGTGGAAACTGAAAAGTCTGGCTGGAAAGTGATCCCCCATCCTGCCATGGCTGCAAAATACAGGAATAGACTTCTACCAGAGTATGTGCAGCATTGGCAAAGATGCCAGGACTGTTCTCAGGATTTCGCGGAATAGTTATCCCTTTTGCGCGGTCATTTAAATTCCACTGCCGTGTCTCTCCGGCGGTAATATATTCAGCCGTCCATTTAAATTTTGCTCGAAAATGATTTATTCATCATTGTTCTTAAATTATATGAGATAGGAACATGAAACTTTCACTAAAATGATCTTAAAAGGTGGTTTTATAACCTTGCCTTATAATATGAGCGCCTGGTATCTCGGCAATGGAAGCAGTTGGTTTAGAATTTGAGCAGTGTATCGTACGCCTTGAAGCATGAAACTTTCACTAAAATGATCTTAAAATATGGTTTTATAACCTTGCCTTATAATATGAG